GGGACCTGTCACCCCATACAGAAACCAACTTTAAACTGACAGCCAAGTATCTGGGTACTGTGGCCACTCAAGTTGATTCATGAAATTAGCTACCGGAATATTACTTGACAACAACAAATAATAAAATACTAATACATGCTACAACATGGATGAAACTTGCTAAGACGCCAGACATAAATGGTCACATAATACATGGTTCCACTTATATAAAAAGTCCAGAACAGACAAATCCACAGAGACACAAAGTTGTTAGTGGCTGCCAGGGCTGGGGGAGAAGCCGGGAGTGACTGCTAAAGGGTATGGAGTGCTCTTCCTTTTCTGGTTCCAGGTGCTTTGGGAGCTGTGGGGTACGGTGCAGACGCAGCCAATTTCAAAAACTTTACCAAACACTACCAATCCCCAAAATGACACAGAAATGGCATTACAAACCTGATGTCACAGCCAAGCATGCTGGCACACACCTATAATCCCAGCAGTCAGGAGGCTGAAGGAGGAGGATCGCCATAAACTCAAGGCCAGCCTGGGCTACATAGTGAGCTCAAGGCCAGCCTGAACTACACAGCAAGACTCTGTCACAAACAAACAAACACCCCCCGCAAAAAAACAAAAACAAAAACAGAAAAACAAAAACAAATAAACAAAAAAGCCCTGATCACAAAGATATGAACCATTTGAGGGCGCAGATGCCAAGTTTCTGTGTGTTTTGCCAAGAAGCACAAGGAAGTCCTGAAGATGACACAGGCAACCACCACCAAGGCCAACGTGTGCTGAGGGGTCAAGGCCCAAAGTCCAATGGGGTTAAGTCCGAGATCCCAGGGAGAGTCACCTGTAAGCTCAGTCAACTTGCCTACACTGCCCACCCCAAGCTTGGAAAGGACCTCAGAATTTGTCAGCAAAAGACCAAAGCAAATGCTCAAAGCAAGGCCCAGTTCAGCTTCTAGCTCAGGCTTCCGGAGGCGCCCAGGCCCCCATAAAGGGACCGTAGGAAGGCTTCCATCTGCCAAATAGGAAAGCACTGGTATGACCTTCGGGCTGCTGTCTGTCTGGGGCTGCTGTCTTCCTCTCCTGTCTGTACAAATAAACGTCCTCAGTTATGGCACAAATCAGCACTGTGTAGCTCCCCATATGATGCTCTTAGGACACAATCGTTTCTCTTGCAAAACACATAACCTAAGTCTAATGTGAGAAAACATCAGACCTACACAAACAGGGACTCTTCCCCAAGCTGGCCTTTACTCCAAAAACATCAGGGTTGTAACAGATAAGTGAAAACGGAGAAGCTGCTTCAGACAGAAAGCAAATAAATTCAACATGCAACCCTGGACCGAATCCTGGGCCACAGAGGAAAGGGTGATTATAAAAGACACTGTCAAGGGACCTGGCAGCTTCAGTGATGCTCAGACCGGGTGACAGTACAGGGTCAGCACCGACTTCCCTGCTCTGACAGCTGTACTGTGGTGATGCAGGGAGTGTCCTTCATCTTAGCAAATGTGCCCTGAAGCATCTACGAGAAACAGCACATAATGTTTATGTAATGCTCTCAAATGAGTCAGAAAATACATACACAGCACATATAACAAATATACTTAAAAAAAGAATGATAAATCAAACAACAGGTTAATAACTGGGAGGTCTAGATAGGGGTATACTGGAATTGTTTGTGCAATTTTTGCAATTTTCCTGTAAGTCTGAAATTATTTCAAAATAAAAATTAAAGAATATAGAATATATGTACAAAGAGACTTCTTCAAAAAAGAAATCTTTTCTTTTTTTGTTTCTTTGAGACAGAGTCTTGCTATGTAATTCAGCCTGGCCTTCACTATGTGGGCCATGCTGGCCTTGAAATTGTGGCGATCCTCCTGCCTCAGCCTCCCAAGTGCTGGAAAGAAATCTTTAAAAAATAAAAAACAAGGAAAAAAAAACCCAGCAAAACAAAAACAAGGGGAAAAAAAAAAAGAGAAACCAAAAAAAGAAAGAAAAAAGCTTTTTAAGAAATCTTTACCTAGTGTAAGTAGGCAGAGAGGTACACACTCGACAGCGAACACCACTGCCAGCTTTTTGGGTCTGAAAAGAGGTACTTCTCATCAGGAGTCACCAGGGGGCAGACGGAAACCAGGAAATAAGGTTCAGCACAGGATTTCACTGGGCCTGTGGTACTGCAGGCAAGAGTTGGCCTGTCCATCCATACCCAGAATGCACTTCTCAACCCTAAAGAAAAAAATTCCTTGTGTGTTGAAAACTGGACTCCTTTCATTCACAGGAGACAAAGCTATGGAGCACCTGCAAGCTGGCCTCTGCTCCTTGTTTGGGTCTGGACTTCAGAGCAGATGTCAAGAGGGCTCTACATCGCTTGCTACTACTCCATCAACTCTTGTGCCATATGGCAAAGACCTCATGAATATGATGGCAACAAAGGAGAATGAACCTTGGAGAGGGGAAACACAGACACTCATCTGTGGAGTGGGCTGAGCCATATCCCACATCCATGTTCATCCTGTCCCCTTTCTCCCTCCCCACCATCCTGAGGCTACATGATAAAGAAGAAGCAGAGATTTTGGAGACTGACCAAGTCTAAATCAAGGCTCTGGTATTCAATTCTGAGCCTCAGTTTCCTTACCTAAATAAAATGGGAATAATACCATTTTCTTTTTAAAAGAGTTATATATACTTTATAAATTACACTATTTTTACACTTTGGTTTGGGCAAAAACAATAGTACATTGTAGCAAGAAATGGTATTTAAAGTTAAGATAAAAGTTCCCCTAAGATGCTGGGCAAATCACTTTATCTGAGTTTCACTCCTAAATGTTACAGTGTAGTTTTTAGAATTACATGAGAATATACCACTAAGAACTCTGAGCCATATTACTGCTTCAGCCAGGAACAACCTTCCTCCCTCAATAAATCAAAATCTTAGCCTGTATGACCTTTCTCTAATAATCTCTAAGGTATAAATAATATGGTATTATTCTGGTCTAAATGACTGAGTTGGAAAGATCTCAGAGATACTAAGTGAAAATAAATGAGAGTATCCATACATGATAATTCCTTTTTATATTTAGGGGAAAAAAGAGGTGATCATGTCATTCATTTGGTTAAATTTTTTTTTTTTTTTTTTTTGGTACTGGCAATCAAACTCACGACCTCATGACCTCACGCTTGCCAGGCAGGCGCTGTGCCCCTGAGCTATATCCCTGGTCCATTTGCTTAAAATTCTTCACTGGTTCCCACTGCCAACCAAGTACAAGCTCCTGACCTGACATTCAAGCTCTTCCACTGTCTGGGCCCCCACCAGTCCCTCAGGCCTCCTCTCCTGTGGCCCAGCCTCACCATCCCGAGCCCTGGGGTACAGCTGCTCCCAAAGTGCCCTTCCCCATCTCCTCCTCTCAGACTTGAGCATGCAGCACAACCACCTGAAGGTTACATACAAACTGCAGGCTACACTCACAGAATTTCTAGGAAGTTCCTGGGTGAGACTGATGCCACTGTTCCATGAACCACACTTTGCCAGTCCCTGCCTTTATAATGACTGCTTCCTCACCTAAATAGAGGCTGACCTTGTCAGTTTCCCTGGGACTGCTGGTTTTGGCACCCAAAGTCCAGTGTTGCTGAATACCCCTCAGCTCCAGTTCTGGGACAGTTTGGGTACGAGAAATAAGACTCTTTCCCACACTGCTGCTTCTGGGGTATTTACTGCTACTGCCAACCATCCTTCTCTAGGGCGAGACCAACAAGGACTCCTGAGGAAGGAGTTACACTTTGTTCACTGACTTTTTGCTGGAGTAAGAAAATTTTAACAAATTTTTCCAAATTCAGGTTTCTCCAAACGTTTACTTCCTCTAGGAAATAGGGTTTTTAGTCCTCTACTCCTTGTAAACATGTAACACAATTTGATGTGAGAACAAACTGCAAGCATGCAGATCTTTGCCCTGTGCGGTGGGGTGGGTTTAATAAGAAGCAAGGGCAGAGGCAGTGAGCATACATGAGCAGCAGCTATTGCTGCTACGGCTGCTGCTGCATCTTCTTCCCTTTTTGGGTGTGGCGGGGTGGTGGTGGTACTGGGAATTGAACCTATGGACTGAGAAACATCTCCAGCTCTTTAAACATTTTGTTTATTTTGAAATAGCCAAGTCTTTAAATTCCCTAGGGTGGGCTCAAACTTGTGTTCTCCTCCCTCGGCCTACTAGAGTGCTGAGATTACAGGCATGTGGCACCATGCCCAGCTACAGGTGAGCTTCTTCCTCAGTTCAAAGTCGGTCTTGAGATGCTAAATCCACCTAGGCCAGTTTAGCTCACTTGCTGTGACTTCCAAGGGTGCTTATGACACTAAGGAGCCATAGACCTTGGGAAGGATTGATGACGTTTCCACTCGTAGATCAGGGTCAATGCTTTTCAGTAACTTTCCAAAAGGTCAGAGGTCAGAGGTCAGAAAGCTGATAGCGTCTCAAGAGACCATCTCGACAGCATGTGTAGATTTGCTTCTCCCATGTGGCTACCTGGAACACAAAAATTCACAGCTCAAAGGAAGCCTGAGATTGTTCTATTTCAAAGATGGAGGCTGGTCATTGACTCCATTAGTCCAAGGGAGTCTGAAAAACCTTGACTCTGAGGGCACATCCATAATACATATTTACACAATCCCTGGCCAGGGCCAAAATTACACTTATGACTACAGAACAGAGAAACTAATTCGCCTAAGTTGAATGCAAACCCATTAGTGTTGTACATGGGTTAGTGCAGAAGGCCTGCACCTGGGGAGGAAATGGTCTAGTGATAGGATTGGGTATCCATAAGCCTTATAAAATTATATTCATAAAAGTGCTGAAAATAAGCTATTATTAACAGGGAGGATTTCATTAACTTCTCAAAGGCAGTTAAGAACCACGAATATCATAGAAATAGCACACATTCTATAATTATTATCAAGTTTCATACCATGTAGCTGCATGACCTAGGGCAACTTTCTCAATTCTTTTGGGTCTCAGTTTCCTCCTTTGTAGAATGGAACTAATATGTAAGTTCACAATATAGAACACTATGCAGGAACTTTTTTTTTTTGTCTTTTTGAGACAGGGTCTCGCTATGCAGTTCAGGCTGGCCTTGAACTCACTTTGCAGCCCAGGCTGGTCTCAAACTCACAACGATCCTCCTGCCTCAGCCTCCCGAATGCTGCGATTACAGACATGTGCCACCACGCCCAGCTATGCAGGAACTTTTAAAAATGAAATGGATGCTAGGCTATCTCATTATCATCCTCATTTTACAGATAAATTGACAGACTGAGGAGGTGAAGGACTTTTTCAAGTTTCTAGAGCCAATAAATAGTCTCTACCGACCCAAAAGCTTTGATTTCTTTCTGTAAGCAGTATTTTCGGACACCTAATGACCACAAGGTACCCTGATTCAGCCCCCTTAAGCCCCAGAGCCCAGATGAGAATAACCCAGGCCGAGTGTCCTTTCAGGCCTGTACCTTGTACACGGGGTCACAGTCAGCCCCAGTGAGCTCAACGGCATAGTCTAAATCTTGCTGAACAATGAAACAGCTTCCATCACCTAAAAGGCAAAAAGACAATTTAGGTAACTAAAGAGAATGTTGGCCTAAAGAAGATGGTCATAAGATACAGAAAAGTAAGTAAGTCTTTCCATACGGGCCAATGACGATGACCCCATGGCTGCTGCTTCGAATGCTGGCCCAGGCAGTATTTGAAGGCCAAGTACAGAATCAACGGGAAACAGAGCTGCCTGCGATTTGTAACAGCCACCAAAGGCACAAAGCGAGCAACTGCAGGCTTACACATTTATTTGCAAACTTATCCTTGACAGTATTTTTAAATAAGGAGTCGGTCTATACAAATGTTTCCTTTAAGAAAGATTTATGCTCCCAAATTATTCTTCAAGCTATGATTCTGACAACATATACTAGAAGGAGAAAAGTTATACCGAGAAAAAGAAAATTATAGCTAACCTTGGGTTGGAGATATAGACGCAGAATGCACAAGGCCCTGCTTCAATCCCCAGCACTACAGGGGAAAAATAAAAAACTGTATCTAATTCCCTTAGCAAAACATGGCCAAATAAAACAAGACAATCTATAAAATACTTAATAAGGCGATTTTTGCTTTTTTTTTTTTTTTTTTGTCTTTTTGAGACAGGGTCTCACTATGCAGTTCAGACCTTGAGCTCACTCTGTAGCCCAGGCTGATCTTGAACTTGCAACAATCCTCCTGCCTCAGCCTCCTGAGTGCTGGGATTACAGGCATGCACTACCACGCCCGGCCTACTATTTAATATAAAAATAGTAGCTCACTGAAGAAAGCATTAAAAATAAAGAAAACAGTGATAGTAAACTATCCATAATCTACCACTCAAAGCTAATTAGTACTAATATTTCAGGTCATTTTGCCAATCTTTTTTTTTCTCTTCCGGTACCAGGAATTGAACTCATGACCTTGCACTTGCCAGGCAGGCATTGTGCCACTGAGCTAAATCCCCAGCCCTGCCAATCTTTGTAATGAAATTATTTTACATGGTAAAAAGCATGCTATATAAAAGAATGCCTTTGTACAAAGCACTTTTTCTATATTGAAATTAAAACTTTGTTAGCCACGCACAGTGGTGCACACTTATAATTCCAGAAATCCCAGCACTTGGGAGGCTGAGGCAGGAGGATTAATGCAAATTCAAGGCCAGCCTGACCCTGTCTCAAAAAACCACACACACACACACACATAAAGACTTTGTATAAGACCTTGGAAAGGAATCAAAGATATCAATTTACCTTCTCAAATTTTTTTGAAATCTGAACAACTGCTTTCTAAATGTTTCTGATAATCAATGTATACTCCAATCAGCAGTACATGAGAGATAATACTTCCCCCGCACCGCCTTTTAATTCTTTGAACTCCAGGGAATTCTCTCTCTAAACCAACTCTGGACTCACCTTGGCTAGCAATGAATCCATCTCTGAAATTCAGCAGGGATAGAACTGGTGCTCCTGATCTGTGGATGACTTGTACTGGAGTTCTAGGATTCAGAAGAGGAAATTTTACTTTTTGAAAGCAATGCTTGACTATGGTGAACATATAATAACCACATAAAAGGGAACAGGACAAATGAAGAAAGAAATTAAAACCATTCATATAGTTTCTTTCCTGGCAAGACCTGGTAGGTGAAGGTAACTAAACACCACTTAGAGTGAATTTCAAAACATGAACTAAGTCACCACCAAAATCTCAAGTTTTTAGAGACCTGACATGGGTCAAAAATAACTATGTTAACAATATTTTAACCTTTTTTAAAACTTGAAGACACAATTTAGTTATGAAACACTGTATTAAAATTGTCAGGACTCTAAAATGAAGATAAAAATGGTACCCCCAAAAGCCATTTGATAAAATACTAGTTGGACAAATGAAGGAAATAAAAGAAGGAAGAAACAGAAGCATAGAAATTGTTAAATCCTGCAACACAGTACCCATTTGATTCTTTGATTTTTTTTTTTTTTTTTTTTTGGTGGTACTGGGATTGAACTTCGGGCCTTGTGCATGCTAGGCAAGCACTGCATTCTTTAAGTATTCTTATTATTATTGTTTTTTTGGGTTTTTTGGTACCAGGAATTGAACTCAAGGCCTCATACTTGCTGGGCAGTCACTGTACCACTGAGCTACATCCCTGGCCCTCTTTGAATATTTTTAAGAACATGAGGTGGCTTGTTTTAGATAGGTCATGATCAACCTAATAGGAATGCAATTGGCTATAGGAATTAAAAAATGATCATTCCATCTTAGGCCAGTGCAGTTCTAATAGCTTCGAGAAAATTACTGAGCTCCTTAAAAACTCTAGACAATCATTTTAAATGCAGTTATTTTATTTCTTAAATTTAATTTCCAAAGAAGTTATTATAGTTGGACAACCGTGACAGTAGGAGTCAAGTTACCTTTTAATAAGATTCCAGGAATAATAAGAACAACCAGATAATTCACACCGCAAAGAGAGACTCTATCAATGGAAAAATATTCCCTTAGCTCAACAGTGATCTATCCGCTAGGCTGAATCAGTATTAAAGCCAATGAAAAATTCCACTCTGTAGAGGACCTGCATCATACAAATGAATCGTGACTCACCTTGGACTCCTCACATCCAGCTGATAAATGTTTCCATCTTGTGTTCCAGCCAGTAGCAAGAAGCCAGAGAGAAAAGTACAGCAGTTGAAGGCATCTGAGCCAATAAAGAGGAAGACCTGGGAACAACAGGAGACAAAATTGTCGTTTAAAGATTAATTTGTTTCCAGGAATACACAGACACCAAAAAAGGGGAAATTTCACTATTTTTAGAGACACTTTCCCCCTTGAACATCTAGAGCAGGAAACAGAGCACTGACCAATACCTGAGAAAGAAGGTCTCCCCCACCGGATTTTAAGACCTGAGGTTGGCTGAGGGCTGCTGCAGTTTATGTAACAATATGCTCTGAGGTAACAGTTTCAAACTAATACTCTTCAACAGTGTGACTCACAGGCTCCTCTCCACCAAAAATCTTTTTTCCCTTTCTATCACAATCTTCCACCTGCAGAGCACTTGTCATTCCCATATCTATATTTTGCTTCATGTCACTGCTAACAACCTTTTAAAGGGGATACTTTTTAGGAAAAGAAAAAAGCTTATATATAATGAGAATTTAAAGAGTCACAATTCTTTCATATCTAAAAAATTATTATACTTTCTTTTATTCTATACTGTTAGTTCAGTCTGACCATTTCATCCTCAGATATTCCAAAAAGAAAAGAATAAAAAATAAATAAGAAGACTTGGAGGCTGGGGATTTAACTCAGCGGCAAAAGAGCCTGCCTGGCAAGCGCAAGGTTGTGAGTTCGGTTCCCAGCACTGGAGAAAAACCAAAAAAAAAAGACTTGATTCACCTTTGTTTTGTTTTGTTTGTTTGTTTTAGACAGGGTCTCACTATGCAGTTTAGGCTGGTCTTGAGCTCACTTTGCAGCTCAGGCTGGCCTCGAACTCACAACGATCCTCCTGCCTCAGCCTCCCAAGGGCTAGGATTACAGGCATGTGCACCACAGCAGGATTGATTCACCTTTGGAAGTAAAAGCTGGCACGGTTCACATGCATAGGCAGTCTCAGCAAAAACAACAATGTTCCTGGGATAAACTCTGAAAATGCAAACCTCCCTTTTCCCTTTCCAGAATCGACATATGTAGCACAACCAAGTACCAAGATGAAACAAAAATGCAAAGGCTGTGGCCGAATCAAGTCACTACAGTTACTCTGAGTGATGATGATAAGAACCAGAAGAAAACTAAAAATCTAATCTCAGGGTAAACAGAGTTTAGTTAAGTGCAAAATAGCTGGGTGTGGTGGTGCGCACCTATAATCCCAGCACTCAAGAGG